CTCTCATGTCCTTGAGGCAAAGGGCTGCATCTTTGGCAAAATGCTGTCTCCTCTGCCAAGTGCAACAGGAGCAAACTGGGGATAGATATCCAATACCAAAAGGCACATTTGTCCATGTGGACAATCTTGTTGTGACAGCCTGACACTACTGTAATCTGACCTTACTCACACATTTACTCTGCTTGTCCTGCTCCTTTCCCTCACACATACTGAGCACTACAGCACCAAGATCACTGTTGAGGGTCTTGTTATGTGACAGCAAAGGAAAGAGGAAATGGCACACAAGAGAAACTACAGTGTGTCTAATTTTAGGTCACATCTATTCTGACAGAATAACTTCAAAAGCAACAAGAAAGCTGCATTCAGTCTACTCCCATGACAGTTTTCCCATCAACTTCAACAGGACTGTATATTAGGAAAAGCATCCATCATTGAATCCAGACAAAATACACTTAAGAGACAAAGTTGTGACAAACAGGATGCTTTCAGCAGTGCTGTAGATGTACACAGTGACTTACTCAACCTCCATCCTATTTGGCAGCACTGTAAAAACCCCAAATAATATCACATCAACAAGGGAAAAGAACAGATAAAGACAATGAGGTTAAACCTCTCGGACTTACCATGGTCAGTACTCACTGTGCAACTCCAGCTGATCCAGCTGCTTTTCCCTCAGAGGCACAAAAGCACAGCTGTGTAGGCAATGCATACTTTTCTAACAGCAAAACACCTCCTCCAGTGCCTACACGTGGTTTAGTACTTAGAAACCATCACATCCACAGATGAGGGAAAAACAAAGCTAGAAACACTCCCCCACACACTTATATCCCATCACATATAAGCTGGGAGCCATCATGTGACAACAGCCTGGGAGGAATCTCAAAGGCCCCAGCTGCAGCCAATGAAGCACTTGGGGTAGAAAACAAGTTCACGCCACACAACTGAAAAGGGAAGCACAGGACGTACATAAAGGTTTGAAGAAGTATGATCACTATTGAGACAAGCAATATGACTTTTACTACTAAACAGCTTTCCAGCCATAAGACCCAAAAATAATTAACTAAACATAACCTGAAGTGAAGGTAAGGTCCATCTTGAATATGCCTTAAAAAGTGGAGAATGAATGTGGCCCCTGAATTAATCAGACAATGCTGGGACAGGAAGGAAAGGAACCACAATCAACATGATAAACAGAATTTAAAATATTAATAAAAAACTAAGGTTTCCTACCATCAGACACTAAGGTGCCTGTGTGAGCTGATGTGTAAAACTCACCTTTCCCATATTAAGAATGCTGTTAAATTGTCCCTTTAAAATCGGTAGGCACTTGATGAAAGCTAGTAAGACTATCAAGACTTTTTAATAAGTCTAAATGATTTAAATAGCACTTAAATGAGAATCAATGCCTCTACCATTTTACTCTTTATCCCTCCTACACTCTCAGTAATGCCAGTCACTTCCTAGTCACAATAGCTTTGTGACCAAGGCCATCTACTGGTGAGTGGGGTGTGCAAATTAATGGGGTTTTTGTTGGCCAGATTTAATTAGTGCTTGGCAAAATTCAGACACATGCATTGAAATTGTGCCAAGCAGACGTTTACAGTTGAGTAGTGTCAGTAGTTAGTAAAGATGACCACGGTTTTGGGTGAATAAACAAACAAATAAAGGCTTCCCAAGCTCCCCAAGAACATTATTTCACCCAGGGGAGAAGAACACAGTACTTTGAATCCCCATCTCCAGTTCAAGTGTAGTCTAGACACCTTGTAACCTCGCTGTTTTATGTAAAATGAATCAGAAATGTCAGTGTTGCTAATAGAGATATGAATTTTAGCCTAAAAATCATCACTACCACACCTGGGGTCTGAATTAAGAAGTTTGCAGGCTAAAACTGCAAATATTTTAGATCAGGATGTATAGGGATTTACAGGCTGTACACCATAATTACAATTGTATTTGTCCCCGACTTACAGCAACAGAAATGGAAGCCAGGCAAGGAGGCGGCAGGAAAATAAAGCACGCTCAAATCCTTACACACCAATTTCTAAGGTGAAGCCTGAGACAAATCACCAAGACAATTTGGGAGCGCTAAGGATCCCCACATTGCTCTAAGCATTCCCTGTTCAGCATTGTTATTCCTAAATCATGAAGATACTTCTAATAAAACACCTCCTTTATCTCTTTTCTTAACATTCTCTAACACTTAAATTAGCATTATGATTTTGAGAGTAAGGTGTTTGAATGGCAGCACTGGAAATCCCTGAATTCACAGAATCATAGGATGGTTTGGGTTGGAAGGGACCTTAAAGATCATTTAGTTCCAACCCCCCTGCCATGGGCAGGGACACCTTCCACTAGCCCAGGTTGCTTAAAGCCTCATCCATCCTGGCCTTGAACACCTCCAGGGATGGGGCATCCACAGCTTCTCTGGGCAACCTGCTCCAGTGTCTCACCACCCTCACGGGAAAAAATTTCTTCCTAATATCTAATACAAATCCACCCTCTTTCAGCTTAAAACCATTACTCCTCGTCCTGTCACTACACTCTCTGATAAAGAGTCCCTCCCCATCTCTCCTGTAGCCCCCTTTAAGTACTGGAAGGCTGATATAAGGTCCCACTTGGAGCCTTCTCTTCTCCAGGCTGAACAACCCCAGCTCTCTCAGCCTGTCCGCACAGGGGAGGTGCTCCAGCCCTCTGATCATCTTCACGGCCCTCCTCTGGACCTGCTCCAACAGGTCCATGTTTTTCCTGTGCTGGAATTACAAGACAATATTCTCCTCCATCTTTGTCTTAGATCAAGATGAAACCAACTTAACCCTTTACTTGCCCTTTTTGCCATGAGAATTTGGGACAACCTTTATAATATATAGAAATGTATTCACTACATTCACTAGACTGAAGACACTAAGCACATTTCTTACCTTAGATAATAGTATGTTTAGGTAGATATTTTTGACTGCCAACATAGAATCCAGAAGTTCCTGTTTTGCCTGAACAAGTAACATGGAAGGAAAGTACTTCCGTAAGATAAAATGTGGATGCCATAACATGACTAACACACTTACCTGACATTCACTTCAGTCTGAGTAATTGCTATGATGATCAGATTTATGACAGAAGAATTTATGGATGTCTGGTAAGCACACTTCAATGCTTTCTTCTATAAGACACATATTTGCCCATTTCTTCCAAGTTGGGTTTGGGGACTGGTACTTTTGGGGGGAGCAGGTGGTGGTGTTTTTTTCTGAAGCCAATATTAGACTGTAAATCCAGTTTAATTACACTGGTTTTATTCACAGTGGAAGCAAACCACTTTCCAGTACAGCACGCTTAGTAACTTGTGTTTCCAATTTATTTATGGTGCAATAAGGCCATGGGTAGTTCTGCATCTGATGGAGGTTTGTAGTCTTCAGGATACTTTTTAAAATGAAGATTAGAGGGGAAGAAAACACAAACATCCAACAGCCACCCCCAACCCACAAGACAAACACATATTTGAAAGAATAAAATAGTGCATGTAAATTCCAAATGACAGCTTATTTTCAGCAAAACCCTGTTGTCATCAATTTGGAGCATGTTCATATCAAGTCACAATTTTATAGAGAAAAAAACCTAAAAAAAATTTTTAATTCATTATTAGGCATACAGAAGGGCCTACTCTGCCTTTGCTTGAAAATTGGAGCACCACTAGTAAAAGGGCAATCCCTCATCAGTCATGACAGAGGCTCCCACTTTGATATATCCAATCAAACAAAAAAAGACTAAGAATATAAAGATGGCTTCACTGGCGTCTGTCTTTCACTCCATAATGACTTCTTTTAGAAGTGCATCTGCACACTTCACTAGCGTTCTGCTTGTTTCTCCTGTTACTATGTTAAACACGGCTGATTGCAGCTTCTTACAGTACATCATTCAGTGGCCAAACTGGACTTGCTACCATTCAGCATCACTCCAGCAAATGGCCCACAGAACAGTAAACACTTTTTGCTTTGCCTCAAAGTTCTCCAGACGGACTGCATACAAAATGGCTATCTATAGTTTTAAATACAGAATTTTGTTTCTCCCCTGAAGACAAGGCTCTCTGTCATCCAGAGGACAAATCACAAATTCTCCATTCTAAGGCCAGGCTGCTGCTGCTAAGGCAGAACAATATACCATAATTATTTTGCCAAGATGTGACGTAAAAACTCGTTGATAAGCTTTAACCATTCTTCTCGTTAAATCACTGCATCAAAAGAGTTGAACTACGGGAAATTTAATTTATACATTTTAATCACAACTACTGTGAATCACAGTAATGATGCTTATTTCACAGTTTCAAAACACTGCATGAATCTCTACAACATTCCTGGGTCAAAAAGTTAGCTTTATCTTTGAAGTTGAGATAGGGGATAAAAAGCACCTATTATAATGATCTCCTGTTGATCTGCATATGAAAATCTCAAGCTACTTACACCAGGGATCTCATGTTCCAGAAACAGATAATCTGAGAATTGGTAAAATGTTAAATTGCAACATCTAATTTTAATGATTTGCTCACTTCAACAAGCATTTCAAACAGAGAACTTAATTTAGCTTCACTGTCAGGTCCTCTTCTAAATTCCATGTTTTTGACTGATTTTTCTTCATAAATGTCTAAACTTGGAATTGCCTATGTATTATTGAATTTAAAGGAATGTTGCTTTTATTTTTTAAAATATATATAACTTTGATCCATTTTCCCAGTGCAATGCTAAAAGTTTTTTCTTACTCTAATCCTGTAACAAATACTGATAATGGCTCTAACTTTCTTAATCTCAAATATATTCAAAAGCAAGATTACCTCAAAGTGAACTGCTGAGGCTAGACAATCTAAGTCCATCTACCTCTATTTCATCTTGCATATTATTCAGATATATATTGTACAGTCCCTAGGAAAAAAAGAAACATAGGAAAATAACTCAGAAGGGCCACTAGCCACAAAAGTGTTGTTTATCTTCAAGTAGTACCATTTCTTCTCAGAACGTAAGAAGCTGACATACCCGTAATACCGGCCTGCGTGAAACTGCGCTGTGTAAATGCCCTGGATGAGCATTAGTACCAGTTCAACTTGTACTAGCCTGTTCCATGGAAAAGGCTTTATTGTAATGCCACAGCATAGTGTAAGTTCAAAACAACTCTGGGAAATCAAACAAAAAAAATTCACCCCTCTTTTGGAGGAGAAGGCAAGAAGGGAAAAAAGAGACCAAAAAAAGCCTGGTATTTGTTACATCAGAACGTTTACAATGGTACATAAAAAGACCGTAGAAGGCATTTATTCTAATAGCCTTGGATGTTCAATCCGTGTAATTGTCCAGTCTGGTTTTGCTCCTTCTGTAAATTCCCTCTGGAATCTGAAAAAGGAAAGACAGTAAGTGAAGAGTTGTTAAAATTTATTTGATCCTTAAAGAGCTCCTAATACCAACAAGAAATAATGAAGAAATATTTTACTTCAAAGTTTTTTCTGTAAAAGCTCCTTAGACTCTGTCTGACGCTTATGCCCCAACAAAATTAATTCTATAGTAAGAAACACACTTCACTGCTTGGCTTGACTGCATCACTGTTAGCTGTGCTACAGGAACTGGGAAACAAGAACTGACATTGGCCTATTTCCTGAAAGCTGCAGAAGCCATATAGGAAAAGATCAGAAACCTCTTTCAGTGCTCCAACTATTGATCTTCCTGATAGAGTTCCCATTAATGTCAACTCAGAAGCAAGGTAATAAGATAATGACTTTAAGGAGTATTTAAAAAATTTGCCACTAGAATCAAAACTGGAAAACTGGATGAGAACTAGCTTACATAAGAGTCAAGGTAAATTAAAACATACCAAGTTCTGCACTGGCACAGTGTGAATGCTTTCAGTTTCCAAACTACTTTCCACACAGCTAGCCCTTGTACATGGAGAAAAAAAAGGGACAAGTAAACTTACTCATAGTTTGCTGTTAAAAGATGTCTTTTCTCTTTTGTGCTTTCATCTCCAAACACAATCTGGAAAACTTTGGTTTCACCTGGTACTTCATCAGGTAGGTTAGCACCATTCAGATACCAGAAACGCATCAGGATACTAACAAACTTTCTTCCTGTTGGAAAAAAAATCAAAGCATAAGGTAGATCTCATGTTTCTCATTGGTCAAATACTCCTATTTGCTACCTAGCGTATATTCTAGTGAGACCCTGGAAGGGCAGCTGGCTTCAGCCATAAAGAATGCAAGATAGAATAATGAACGATAAAGCTATTTAAAGCCATATTCACACTGGTTAGCCACAAAAAAACCATACTCCGTAGAAAGGCATGTATTTTATCATGAGTGTTGCATGACATCGTACATAATCAAACTGTATGAAAAAAAGCTGGTTACCACAAGGTCAAAAGTCAACTACTGATACTACAAAAGCAGCTGAAACTCAGGAGCAGCCTAAAAGGAAAAAAAAAAAAATCCCTATCTCCCAAAACAGGAAAAAAGCTCACTAGGTCTGACAATTTGAAATGCTCATTGGAAGACCCATGGTTAGACTATAAACCATCTCAGCTGTGTCTGATATTGAACTGTGCACTAAATGCTGGGATTCAACCAAAAGAAAAACTTGTTTGAGCTCATCACTAGCTTAAAAAAAAAGAAAAAAAAAATCAAGAAGTCCTAGAACAAAGTATATTCCCTGAAAACAGAATAGAAGTGAAGATAGCAACATTTATTTCATTATCCAGCCTTCGCTGTTCTTCTTGGAAGATGTATTTTAATTGCTGAGGCAAACAGCTTTCTGCATATAGTAGAATAATTGTTTTTGAGTGGTTTGAGATTGATAAGGACTAATAATGTAAAAATCTGATATTACAAAATAAGAGGAATGAGCAAAACCTAAACAGAAGTTACCATGACTTACTAACAATTATCTCTCAATTTCTGGTTTAAAAGGAAATCAAGGAATTATATATAGATGAACTATAAACAGAAAAACAAGGAATGAAAAACAGTATTCAAAAACACATCTGTAAGGAGAATGTCTGCTTAGTAGCAAAACCAGGAGATAAGACTGCCCATTGCTGAAATATTTTATAATTCTAAACGTACCATCATCATCATAGTAAATGCGAACATCTCCTTCTGTTGTGTACATGATTGCATCAACGTCAGCTGCTAAAGCATCCCTGTGGTTGTCAGGGAGCAAAGAAAGTTTTTCCTTCAGCGCCCGAAGTACCTAAATTCAGAAAAACTGTCACTTAGTTTTTCATTAGGAAATTGAAGCAGCAACCTTTTCTACTGCAGTTAATAAAATGAGCTATATGACTAAAACATTTGTATAACTTATACAACAGCAGAAGTGAAAAAGCACTGGGAAGTCTGGGCACTCCCGAACCCTAATTGAGCAATATCAAAGATGATCAGTTTACTGCTCAAACCAATGAAAACCAAGTACTTTAAAAACTGTTTAGAAAAGGTACTGTCAAAACAGAAGTTGCAAAGGAAGGCCTGTAAGCCCAGAAAACACCAGTTAGGCTTGCTTCCACAATCATGCTTACACTCTGCCTTCTCACTGCTGACTTCTCGCTATGTTTATATTCCTTAGCTTTTGAGTCAATTATTTCTTTGTTATCTTTCATGAATTTATTTGAAAATCAGTTCTGCTACCAATAAGTTTATCTTTGCCATTTTGTGATCCACATTCCCACAGAAACACTTGCAAATCAGAAAATACTGAAAACTCATTGCTCTGGGACTTGTGTTCCATACCACATTCACATCCATTGTATTTGAGCGTCCTAAGACCTACATCGCTGTGTAGCAGGAAAAGGGTGTGGTGCACAAACTGAACAAAGGCATCACCTCAGAAACCACATGAGAAAGACGTCGCAAGGAAGGATGAAGCTGTGCAGCATTTGTTTTTAGCTCATACTCAGTTTTTAGCCTAACTTGAATTGCCATTTTTGAGTAACAAACAAATCCAGAGGTCACATGGAACCAAGAGGTGATCTTCACTAGATGACACTGGTTTCCAGTATGTTTTGCAGGTATAAATTCACTGACCTAAGCAACAACAAAGCAGTGTGGTATCATAGCCTTATCCACTACATGCTCTGGTTACACAAGGTTTTTGGATCGACGTTAACCCAATCACCTGAAGAATTTAAGATGAGCAGAGGAAGAGGAGATGCTCTTTCAAAACAACTATAAGAAACAAACTCACATTTCATTGTTATCTCTGCTCAGAGACACGAGGCAAGATTGTCCAGTGGGGATGCACTAGAACAGCACCAAAATTTTTGCCACAAAGGCATGGGTGGCAATAGGGCAGACCAAGCTGACATCCAGTAATGAGGCAGACATAGACCTGAAGTATTTCCTCCACTTACTTGACTGTGATGCATTTGCTACCTCTGTCCACTGGGAAGGCCAAGACAACTTCAGCAATTAAAAAATCATAAAAACACTGAACAAACAGCACCAATGTTTAACTAGCCAGGTCAACCATATCCCTGAGACCATGACACAAGACTGAGGCCTTCCATCCAGAACCAGTAATTGGCTATATGATGTGCTTGTGGGTGGGAATGTATTAGTGCAGCAGGGATGAGCACAAACCTGCTCCCTTCTTCATCTGAATTCTGGTGCAGAGATCGAAAGTGTGAGCTATCTGCCTACACCAAACAGAGGCATGCAATTCCATCTGCCATCCAGAACCCACCGCCTTTCAACTGTTTCTGATACACCAGCAATCTTTTGGCAATTGGTCCTTATGCTCAATGGCAAGAATGTTTTTTTTTTAAATACACTAACTTTTAATTAAGTTTCATGCCTTGAAATTAAACATAGAAAAGCTGCAGGGCAAACAATTGCCCTGTTCCATATTAGACTGTTTTTCACAAACCAAACTGGCAGTATTTATAGATAATGGCAGACTGAATCCATGTTACTTCATAATGGAAAATCAATTGCAGAATACGAGATGGACAGCATTTACCTCTGCTGATACAAGTTCATCCAGCAGGTCAAGTTTACGCTGAGACAGCAGCTTTGACACAACAGAAAAGGCCTACAAAAAAATAAAAGAGAGAGAAATACATGAACAAAACCATTAGGTTGGCTTATTTTTCAGACAAACCCATCATTATGCAACAAGTTACCCAAATATTCGATGATTTAAGATTTCAACATTTGCAGAGTATATCACCATAGAAATGGAAGCCCTCCAAGCATTAAAAAAGTGATTCGCTGAACCGATAAAAACATAAGGCTTCTTTTCAGTCTCTCATTGTATTGGGCTTGCATGGCAAGGTTTTGGTAGTGGAGAGGCTGCAGGGGGGTGGCTTCTGCAAGAAGATGCTAGCAGCTTCCCCCATGTCTGACAGAGCCAATGCCAGCCGGCTCTAAGATGAACCCACCACTGGCCAAGGCTGAACCCATCAGCAACAATGGCAGAGCCTCTGGGATATCATATTTAAGAAGGGGGAAAAACAAACCCTGGGCAACAGCAATTTCAGATGGAGAGAGGAGTGAGAATATGTGAGAGAAACAACCCTGCAGACACCAAGGTCAGTGAAGAAGGAGGGGAGGAGGAACTCCAGGGGCTGGAGCAGAGGTTTCCCTGCAGCCCGTGGTGCAGAAGGTGGTGAGGCAGCTGTGCGCCTGCAGCCACGCAGCGTAACGGGGGAGCAGGGATCCACCTGCAGCCCCTGGAGGACCACACGCTGGAGCAGGCGGATGTATTTTCAAACAGTGTACTTGGGAAATGCTGACAGTGTTTAGAGCTCTACAGCAAGTGAAAACAAACCAGAAAAACAGGACAAGACAGAACAGGTGGTTCTGCACAGACAGCAACTAATTTGGTGCAGGGTTTTTTTGGTTTCTCTTGAGCTGATCCGAAGCATTTTAACATTCTGTCCCCCACCACCTGGTGTGTCGTTTTGAGATTTTTTTTTTTTTGTTTATTTTCAAAATGAAATACAATAACTTAAGTTTCACAGCAGGTACAACTGTTACACGATTAGCTTTGAGATCACTGCCTCTTGTACACGTCCTGCTGACAAAGCTTCTTAGGTTTGCAAATTCAGAGAAACAAAGGTATGTACCAGCCCTAGACCTGCCTGCGCTTTGTCATTTTAGGAAACCCAGCTAAGAGAAGATGCATTTCCCCTTAAAGTCCCCAAAACATCCGGAATCACCTTTCTTCACACTACTTTTGGAGGAATGGCTAAGCCAGCTCATTTTAATTCTGGAATCTGGGAAAAGAAAAAAAGAAGAGTCTGAAAAAAAGCGCAGCTCCCGTTATCCTCACATGCTCCACAAGTGAGGCACTCGGAGCCACAGGCGGGGAACTCCACCTAGCTCACACGCCCGCTCCCGAGAACCGGGCGAACACCGGCGCTCCCGGGTCCCCACGTGAAACCAGACCCGGGCACCGGCGGC